CGGTAGCAAACGCGACGTCCGGTCGGGTGTTTACCGCCGCATACATGAGGCTGCCCACCAACGAGTGAAAACGGCGCCTCTCTTCTTCTCCAACGCTCTCCTCCTCTGGCCCCTTCACACAATTGAACCCAGAGGGAAAGGGAGTAGCCACATGACCTTCACTTTGGCCGAAGTTGGCGGCCAATGCCTCCAGGTACTTCCGTTGGTGCACTCGCATGCTCCGCTTCTCCACGTCTCGTTTGATGTGGAGCCCAAGGTAGAAGTTCACGTCACCAAGGGACTTGCACTTGAACTTGTCATGCAGTTTCAGCATCACCTCCTTCACAAGGTCAGAGGAGGGTGAGAATATGAGAATGTCATCCACATAAACCACCATGAAGCTCCTCTGCTCCCCCTCGCCAAGCATGAACAAGGAGTGATCGGCCGTTGAGGGAGTGAAGCCGATCTCCTCCAACACTTCGCGCAGCTTCATGTACCATTGCCTAGGGGCCTGCTTCAGCCCATAGAGGGCCTTCTTCAGCTTCCACACTCTACCACTACCATCATCAAACCCCTCTGGCTGTGCCATAAAGATCTCCTCCTCAAGGATGCCGTTAAGGAATGCCGTTACGATGTCCATTTGTTTTACTACCCATCCTTTGATGGTGGCTCCCGCGAATAGGGTTCGCAGCGTCGTCGGCTTCACCACAGGGGCAAACAGCTCCTTAAAGTCCACCTTCTCCTTTTGCTGGTACCCCTTGGCTACAAGCCTAGACTTGTAGCGCTCGATCTTGCCGTCGGCATCCGACTTGATTTTGAAGAGCCACTTGGACGTTATCGCCGTACGCCCCTCCGGTAGCTCCACCAATTCAAATGTGTCATTCTCCTCGATGCTCTTCAGCTCACTCTCCATGGCCTTCTTCCACTCCTCAGCATCACTACTCTCCAAAGCCTCCTTGAGAGTTGCTGGTTCTCCCGGCATCTCCACCGGAGAGAAGAACGCGAAGGCACACTCCTCGTAGTCACTCTCCTCGTCGTCTCCGACCATCATTGCCGCTCCGGCCAGGGCTGTCTTGCCCTGCTTTCCCAGTGCATCATAAGTCAGCCTATTAGGGGGTTGAACTCTCCTCTTCCCCCTTCCTCCTCAGCTGCAGGGACTTGAAGGCCTTGGTGTTGCTGCGGTGTGGCTCGAATCCGTGGAGCACACATAGTACGGGAAGGGAGTGATGGTGCACGCTCGCTCACTTGCTGCACCTCCTCCTCTTCTTCCTCTGCATCATTGGCCTCCTCTCCCCCATTCAAAAGGGAGGATTGCCTCGTGGTTGTGCTGCCACTGCTCAGCTCCACATGCTCCAAACCGGAACTCTTCACTTCCCCAAACCGCACGCCTATCTTCGCCTCATTCTCCGCCTTCCAATCCTTGTACATGAAGTTCTCCATGAACTTGCAGTCCCTGCTCACCAAGAACTTCTTGGTGAATGGGTCCCAAAGAAGCCATCCCTTGCTGTTTTGAGCCATGCCCAAGTGCACGGCCCACACCGCCTTGGCACCAAACTTGTTGTGCCGAAGATGCTTAGGCACAAGCGCCATGCACATGCACCCGAACACCCGAAGCATATCCACCTTTGGCTTCCTTCCTAGCCACTCCACATAGGGCACCCATTTTTCTGCTCCCACATGAGTCAAGGCTCTGTTCTTGGCCACACACGCGCTCCGCACCGCATCAGGCCAGAAATAGTCGGGTAGCCCGGCTTCAATGAGAAACCCGCGTGCCGCCTCCGTGATTGTGCGGTTCGCTCGCTCGGCGATGCCGTTCATTGCAGGGGAGTATGGCATGGTGAGGGAGTGCCGAATACCATTCTTCTTCAGCCACACCCCAAACTCCTTGCTCAGGAACTCTCCCCCTCGATCGGTGCGGATTGACTTGACTAGACGGTCTTGTTGCCGCTCCACCATCGGGAACCAATCCGTCTTCAACGTTTCAGCCACGTCGCTCTTCTTGGCCAGCACATACACCCAAGTCATGCGGGTGTAGACGTCAACAATGGTGAGAAAATACTCAGCTCCAGCAGCTCCAAGCTTCAGGGGGGCCATCACGTCCATCACCACCTCATCAAGCGGTGCCTTAGCCGTCGCCTCCGAACTAGAGAACGGGAATCGGATGCACGTCGGGCAGCCAAGTACCTCATTGGGCTCCCCCTTCACACGTATGCCAGCAACCATCTCATTCTTTACTAGCTGTTGCAAGATGGGCAGGGCCACATGCCCCATGCGCCGATGCAAGGTGAGCCAATCACACTTCCCCGTAGCCGAAGTTGGATTGGAGAATGGTGCGCTTGCAATAGCGCCCCACATACTCTCTCCGTAGTCCTCTTCCGCTGCTGCCTCGGGGTTCTTCTCACCCTTTTGCTGCTCCTTGGCTGCTGCACCTCTCTCCATAGGTTCACCAAGCTTGCTGGTCCCTCCAAGATTGCACTTCTTGGGCTCATTCTCCTTAGCGCGACCGTCCGCGCAATCGCCACTACCAATCGCTCCACCTTTGGTGCTGACGCTTGCTGCCACTTGCCTCTCCTTAGGCATTGGGACCACAGGGATCTGCCACATCTCGTTGTAGACATCTCTATCCTCATGAAGGTCCCAAAGAATCCGATCGCCAAGCCTTGCGGTGTAGGTCTTGGCTCCCTTCGAGTTCGTGTCCATGCCGGCCTTTGCCAACCGCCACACGGAAATCAGGTTGGCAGCAAGGCTGGGCACCCAAAGCACATTCTTGAGGCCCACCATCTTCCCATCAGCACCCTTAAACATGGCCTTGCCCATGCCTTTCACCTCCGCTCGCTGCCCCAAAGCAGATGTAACATGCTTCACCGGTGACGGTTCGAGTTCGGTGAGCAAGTCCGGGCGAGGTGTCATGCTATAGGTAGCGCCACTATCGATCACCCAATAGTCCAGAGGGTGTAGGGTCACCTTCCCCACAGCTGCTGGCTCCTCAAAGCCTTCATCCTTCTCTGGACCAGTCGGTACTTGCGTCGACACGAAGTAGAATAGACCCGGGTACCGATCGTTGCTCGGGTCCTTGTCATTGTCTCCGCTCTTCATGTTTGCAGCTCCGCCACCGCGACCGCCACGGCCTCCACGGCCTCTTCCTCTCCCTCCTCCTGCTCCTCTACCCTCCTGGACTTGAGCAAGGGTCCAACCATGAGGGAGCTTGTATTAATCACGCCACATATGTCCGCTCTTGTGGCAATAATGGCATTCGCCGTCGAATCGGCCGCGACCGCGCCTGTAGCTCTTGTCGTCGCTGCCATAACCGCCACTCCCGCGGCCTCCGCCGAAGTTGCTGCCACCAAACCTTCCTCCCCCTCGTCCTCTGCCTCTTCCTCGACCATATCCACGGCCGATGCTCGCTGCCCCAGCGCCATTTGCACCCGCCAACTCACGGCGGCGGAAATCCTCTTGAAGGATAGCTCGCTTCACATCTTCGAGCGAGAGGCGGGGCAAGTCGCGATTCAGGTTGATGATGAGCGAGGACCATGATTCAGGGAGTAGGTCCAGAAACTTGGTCTTCTTTTGGAGCTCACTATAGTTCAACTCCGCTCCCTCAAGCCGCGTCAACAAGTTGAAGAATTTCTGCACCCCTTCTTCAACCGCTTCATCCTCTTCAATTCGTAACGTCGCCATTTGCCGTTCCAACACCACAGCTACCGCCGCTGTTGCAGGAGCGTGTACACCCTTGAGAGCAGCCCATGCCTTTGGTCCCTTCTCTGGTTCACGCTGGAAAGGCTTGATGTGACGGATTTGGCTGCTCCCCAACGCTTGCCCAAGTAGGAGGTAGCCTTGTGCGCTCTTCCGCACCCACGGGCTCTTCTCCGGGTCGTTCTCGGGACGCTTCTCCGTTCCTTCCATCACCTCCAGCAGGTCATAGTGGTCAAATATGTTCTCCATTCTGAAGGACCACTCAGCAAAGTTGTCACCATTGAACTTGTCAAGGCCAAACACTCTAGGCTCATCCCTAGATGGGCCAACACTTGGTTGCACGGGCGCCATGGCTGAGTCACGGGGTTGGCCTTGAGCTTGGGCTTCTCCTCTACCACCAGCACCTCTGCCACCCCTTTCCTCATGTCCAGCCATTGTCGAAACTGCTCCAAGGGGCTCTTATACCACTTGTTATAGTCACAGTAGGCTCCAATGTGCCTAAAACGAAAGATAGAGTGCACAGTCGGATTTCTGCACAGCAGCTTCAAACGTTCATAGCAATCTTCTCACAACTTCAAATGACTTCATTCAACTTGGATCTGAAGCGCCTTGATGTTGCCTACAATCGGCACTTTAAATCACACGCTTTCATTAAGAAATGACGACACAGCGTCCGTTTGAACGAACGGCACTATGGCAGCAACATAGTCTTAGAACACAAGATAGGAAGAGTTAGGAAGAGTTACGAGTTGGGAATGACTTCCAGCTCCTACAAACCCCAAGAGCCGAGGTACAGTGATTTGGAACAGTGCCAGTTTGTTCCCAACCACGAAGGGTCTCGAAACTATCCTTCACTAGGGCCTACACCAAGTGAAATGTTACACTACACAAAGTAATGTAACTATCTTCAATATCTTGAGGTGCACCCTTTTGACGAGCTTTGAAATCACTCGAGGCTTGACACAAAGGCTCGGGCTGTTCATCACAAACTCATCCTTGAATTCTTGATGGGTCTTCTGCACACACCTGCGACACACCGAACGTTCGACACAGGACAAAATAGAAACCGCGCCCGAGACACAAACGACCGCGTAACACGCGTCTAGCGATATCTCGCTATTGACTCGACACACACACACTCGACATCATGACTCAACATTCACACACAATTATAAGCATGAAATATATATTATCCCATGCCCTCATACCATTCCATACACACACACAAGCACGCACACGGACAACAAGCCGAGTGCAAACCGTAGGGTTGCACCAACAGCACCTACGTCGACGAGGTTCCCCCACCTGGGGCGAACATCGTCAGTGGCATGTGGATTTTCAGGGTGAAGCGGCCGCTGGGTTCTCCTCCTGTCTTCAAGGCGCGTTACGTGGCTCGAGGCTTCAGTCAGCGGTAGGGAGTTGACTACTTTCATACCTTCTCTCGCACCCCGAAGATGACCACTCTTTAGGTGCTGCTGCACACAGCCGCTCAGCGCGACTACGAGCTTCTCTCTCTTGACTTTAGCACTGCTTTCCTACAGGGTAGCCTGCACGAGGAGATCTGGTTGCGCCACCCTCCTAGCTTCACTGGGTTGTTTCCTCCCGATACCCAGTGGAGTCTCTGGCGGCCAGTCTACGGTCTCCGCCAGGCGCCCCGTGAGTGGCATGACACGCTGAGGACTACACTTGCGGCTCTTGGGTTTGCTCCTACTGCTGACCCGTTGCTGTTTCTATGCACCGACACCTCTTTGCCGCCGTTCTACATCCTCGTGTACGTAGACGACTTGGTCTTTGCTACTGCTAACACTGGTGGACTCACCCACGTGAAGTCCGAGCTGCAGAAGAGACACACGTGCACAGACCTGGGTGAACTGCGCAGCTACCTTGGCTTGCAGATCACCCGAGACAGAGCATAGCGCACCATTAGCCTGACTCGGTCACACATGGTGCAGCAGGTCCTTCAGCGCTTCGACTTCACGTACTCCTCGCCTCATGCCACTCCTCTGTCTACTCGCCACTCGTTCTACGTAGACAACAAGGCCATGCTGGCCTTGTGTCGGGAGCACAGACTGGAGCACAAAACAAAGCACATTGCTCTTCGTTACTTCCTTGCTCATGAGCTGCAGCAGCGTGGTCAGCTGCGCCTTGCTTACGTGGCCTCTGAGGCCAACACTGCTGATATCTTCACCAAGGCACTTCCGCCTGGTGATCATCAGCGTTTCTGTACGATGCTAGGTCTTGTGCCTACCTGGCCTCACTTGCTCACTTCTTGATCTTGCTTGTACTGTGATCTTTCTATACCTGCACTTGCTTCTTTACCTTTATATATGATCTTGCATGTGAACTGGCCTTTTGGCCTTGCTCTTGTGCTCAGATTGTGTGGTGACGTTGTGATCCATCCTGAACTTGCTTTGCTTTGCTTGACTGGTCTTGTGACCTCTTGTTCTCCCTCACTTTGCCTATGGGGGTGTGTCAAACTCATATGCTATAGTCTGTGTAGGCTGTAGTGGGGTAGACAATATGGGGTACAACACTTCTAGGATTTCCTACTTGTACCCACCTGCTTGCTAGTTCATTCATTCCTCATTTCTTCACAGTCGACGGAATCAACGTGCGAGTGCAGCGGTCGACGGCGGCTGTAGGCAGCTCGCGTGCCGACGTCGATGTACGACGTCGCTCCCCTCTACGAAGCGGTGGAGGTTTCTCGGCGACAACGCACGTGACGGCAGGCGGAATCGCACCGGCGTATGGCTACTTCAAGTTTTCGCCAGACCGGATCACCGTCGATCCACTGCAAGGTCGACGGGACCTCATCACCTGGAGGGAGTCGATAGATCCTCAGCTGGAGGTCGCCGGGCTGTAGGGCTTCGCCGAAGGCACCGTGCCCGTTCTGCCCCCGGATGATGTCGAGCTGCGTGGGGAGTTTCGCGCTGCTCAGCTGCTCACCTTCATGGCCATCTCGAGGTGCTGCTTGCCGGTGGTGCAGCTAGCGCTCAAGAGCTGTCAAGAGCGACTGGATGCTGGTCACCAGGCATGGCAGTTCATCCTGTCAACGTACCAGGTTAGGGACGGCCTGTACATCGGACAATTGATTGAGAAGATGACCCACATTCGGATGGGCGAGCAGGAGTCGGCGACGGATTACTGCAACTGTGCTCGACGGATCCTGGCAGAGATGCGGATGGCGGGCGCCGAATACTCAACGGCGTCCTACATCACTCACATCGTCAAGGGCTTGCCGCGCAGCTATAATCTCATGAAGCGGATGATGATGGTGCCCGGCACGCGTGAGTCGCTCGACGAGGACTCCATCACCAGCTACATTCTTTAAGATGAGGCGATGCAGGAGGCCGAACAGCCCATAGAACTCTTTACGCAGGCAAACTATGCTGCATCGACGAAGCTAAATCAGCAGCAAAGGCAGCGCGGGAAGCCGGGCGGAGGTGGTAGCGAAGATGGGCGGTCGACGAAGGACGTGGACAAGAAGCGGTCGACGTAGGACAAGGGTCGACAAGGTGGTGGTCGACGGCGGGAGTGCTGGATCTGCGGCGACCCCGACCATCTCTCCTTTGAGTGCCCCGGCCGCGATGACAGCGACGAGGACGACAACAAGGGAGGTCGTGGTTGATCGGCTAGTCATCGCCCCTGTCGAGATGGGAAGCCGCGCAAGGAGAAGCAAGCGTCAAAGAAGACGTCGTCGACGAAGGACGTCGTGAGCTCCAGCAGCAAGAGCCGAGGCGATAGGGAGGCGTCGTGCTCGATGGTCAGCGTGGTGGAGCCGACGGTCTCGCTGGCGCCGGAGGCTGGCGAGGACTTCCAGGTAGTGGCGGCAGCTGTGCAGGCCAACCTGATGGCGGTGCTGCTCGACAGCGGGTGCTCCCACCACCTGATGGGGACGAAGTCGGTCTTCGTCGACATGGGGCCGAGCGACGGGGTGAAGCACGTGCGTGGGTTCAACGGGGCATTGCAGCCTGTCGAGGGTCGCGGAATCGTCGCTCTGCAAGGGGAGGCCGGGAAGCGGGTCTTCATCCCCGACGTACTCGACGTTGCAGGCGTACAGGCGAACATGCTGTCTGCTGGCCAGCTGAAGGAGAGCGGAGTGCTGCTGCAGAGCGATGGCGACGAGATGCTGCTCGTCGCCGCGACCGGAGAGGTGCTCGGTCGAGCACGCTACACCAGACGAGTCCTCTTCACCGACCTTCGCCCCTGCTCGACGCAGTCGTAGTCGACCAAGGTGGTGGCTCTGCGGACGATTGTTTCGGCGACGAAGACGACCTCGGATAGGATGCATGTGCGGCTCGCTCACGTCAGCGTCGACACGATCAAGAGCTCGGCGAAGCATGTCAAACACTATATGTGTTATTATTGTGTAGGCTATAGTGGGTTAGCCTTTAGGGGGTACACAAAGTTAGGGTTTCCTACTTGTACTCCAACTTTCATAGTTCAGTCACTTCTTCATTCTAACATGGTCCCATCTACCCCGCGCGTGACTCGCTTAGAGGCCCCGTCGGCCCCCTATACCCGCGCGCGCCCACCTCTTAGCGGCCCCGTCGGCCCATCAACCCCACGCGCCGCCCCTTTAGCGGCCCCGCTGGCCCCGTCGACCCCGTGCGCGACCCCGTTAGAGGCCCCGTCGGCCCTGTATACCCCGTGCGCGCCCACTCCTTAGCGGCCTCGTTGGCCCCCTCGACCCACGCGCCGCCCCTTAGCGGCCCCTGCCCGCCCTGTCGGCCCGTGCGCGACCCCGTTAGAGGCCCCGTCGACCCCGTATACCCCGCGCGCGCCCACCTCTTCGCGGCCCCGTCGGCCTACTCGACCCACGCGCCGCCCCTTAACGGCCCCGCTGGCCTCGTCGACCCCGCCCCTTAGCACCCCACCGCGACACCCACGGCCCCGCCAGAACGAGCCGCCCAAACCGAGCAGCCCAAACCAAGCCGCCGAGCCCGAACCGGGCCGCCGACCCAAGCCGCCCAGCCCGAACCGAGCCGCGCCGCCCGAACCCGGCCGAGCCGCCCTACCCGAGCCGAACCGCCCTACCTGAACCGAGCCGCGCCTCCCGTACTGGACCGAGCCGCCCTACCTGAGTCGCACTGCCTAAAGTCTTGAGGGTGCACCTACTGCTACTACTGCTACTCTACTGCTTCTCTACTGCTGCTATGGCTAGCCCTCCTGTGCTAGCTTTCGATGCTGAGGGCCGCCTAGTGAAGTTCGATACCTGGCTAGATGACCTACATCTCTTCCTACAGCTCACTGCCAAGGAGGACATCTCATTGTACGATCACGCCCTCGGCCATGCTACTGCTCCTGCTGCTACTCTTAACAGCACTGCTCGCTCACAGTGGCAGACTCGTGACGCCCACGCTTGCTTCGCTATTCGCAACTCCCTGCCGATAGACGAGCGCGAGCACTTTGACCAGCACAAGACTGCACATGCACTGTACACCGCTGTCGTTGCGCGCTACTCCTCACCTGCCTCTGCCGCGCTAGGCCGTCTCTCCCTCCCCTACCTGTTTCCTGACCTGGCCTCGTTCCACACAGTAGCTGACCTCATCACGCACCTCCGTACTAGTGAAGCCCGCTTCCGTGCCGCCATGCCCGATGAGTTTCTTGCCACGAACCCCCCCCCCCGCTCTGGCTCACTCTCTACCACCTAGTCACCCGCCTCCCTGACACTCTGCGTGCTGTCAGGGACAACTTCCTAGCTCGCTGCCCCACTGAGCTCACCATTGCTCTCCTCGAGAAGGAACTGCTTGCAGCTGAGGCTAGCATAGTCACTGTAGGTGCCTCTCGTGGCGACCCCCGCACCCCTTTCTTTGAGGGGTGTTCCCCTTCCCCCCTTCTTCCCTCTGTCGCCTCTGCTTTTGCTGTCGACCTCCTTGGTGCTGAGAAGTTCGGGGCTGCTTTTGCCTCGAGCGGGCGCCGCAGCGCCAAGGGCAAAGGGGGCAAGGGAGGCGGAGGTGACGGGGGGGGAGGCGGTGGTGGGGATGGTGGCGACGGTGGGGGTGGTGGTGGGACTCGTGGGGCTAGTGGCAGCGGTGGGGGTGGTGGCGGCAACGGCGGGGGCGGTGGCAGGGGCGGGGGCGGTGGTGGGGGCAGCGGTGGACGCGGCGGCGGCAGGGGAGGAGGTGGTCGAGGCGGTGGTGGCGGCAGTGGTGGTCGTAAATGCACTGGCGGTGGCCAGAGCCTACACCACTCTCCGTCGCCCCAGGAGCTCCGTGAGAGGTATGCTCGGCACGGGGGGGGTGGTGGCCTTAGCTGCACGTATGTCATCCGCACTGGTGACCGCACTGGTCAGACGTGTGGGAGGGCGCACCCCACGCAGCGCTGCTTCTCACGCTTGGACGACGCTTGGCGTACTCAGTTCTCTGACACCACTGAGCTGCCCCGCTGGGCTGATCTGATGAAGCAAAACATTGATATCTTTGCTCTAGACTTTGATGCTATTCTCTCTGCCATGTATGTGATGTCTATAAGTGGAGAGGGTGCCCAGTACCTGAGTGTTCCGCCCGACCTGGGCCTTCGACCCGGTGAGGCTACCGCTCTAGGTGCTAGAGTGTCTGCTACCCTAGGTGCTCGTGAGGATGCTGCGCTAGGTGCTGGTCCGTCTGCACCCCCTGTCACTGAGTCGACTGAGGCACTGCACACCTTTATACTAGACTCAGGTGCCTCCCGCTGTTACTTTCGTGACCGCACGGCTCTTGAGCAGCTTACTCGACCCGTTGCAGTCTCTCTCGCTGACCCCTCTGGGGGTCCAGTCCTTGCGACCTCCTCCATTGTCCTCCCCTGTCCGGCCGTCCCGTCGGGCACACTTTCCAGTCTCTACCTCCCCTCGTTCTCTACAAACTTGGTGGCGGGTAGTGCGCTCCACGACAGGGGTGTTCACCAGTTCATCCCTGCCTACGAGCGCGTGACACAC